GCTTAGTCAATCACCTGACCTGAATGGCATTACATTAATCTCCGAGAACAAAGTAAGGAACCTTGGTGTTATCTTCGACCAGGACATGTCATTCAAATCCCAGGTTAAACAGGTTTGTAGGATTTCCTTTTTCCACCATCAAAATATTGCTAAGATTAGAAGCATCCTTTCCAGAAGTGATGCTGAAAAACTAGTTCATGCACTTATTACATCAAGACTGGATTACTGTAATTCATTACTCTCAGGAAGTCCACAGAATGTAGTTAAAAGTCTTTTGCTTGTCCAAAATGCTGCAGCTAGAGTTCTGATGAGAATTAAAAAGAGAGATCATATCTCTCCTGTCTTAGCTTCCCTACAATGGCTACCTGTGAAATTCAGAATAGATTTTAAGATCCTTCTTCTCACATATAAAACGCTTAATAATCAAGCTCCATCATACATCTGATTGTTCCATACGTTCCTAACCGAGCACTTCACTCTCAGACTGCAGGTCTACTGGTGGTTCCCAGAATATCTAAAATTAGGATGGGAGGCAGATCTTTTAGTTATCAGGCTCCTCTCCTGTGGAACCAACTCCCAGCTTTAGTCCGTGAGGCAGACACTTTGTCTACTTTTAAGACTAGGCTTAAAACATTTTTATTTGATAGGGCCTATGATTAAAATCTGATGTTAGCCTAGATCTGGACAAGTGGGGGAGTAGAGGTAGGTGGAGTGTACAGTCGGTAAAGACGGCTCTCCCTTGCCCTGCCTCCAACATGCCTCTATCTGAAAAGGCTAGGTTATCCAGAGTTATCTCTGTAGTTATGCTGCTATAGGCTTAGACTGCTGGAGGATACACTGGCCACTTTTCACACTCTACTACTTTCTTGTACAATCTGCTCTTTAACTGTATTATTTTCTGCAATTTCAGCTGCTGACTTTATTTGTTCTCTTAAGTGTTTTTCTCCCCAGAAGAAGCTACAATGATGTTCTGCTGAGCTGTGGTGTTACTTTACCTTACCTAAGGTAAAGAAACATCTAATTACTTCACTGTGTTCAGTAAGAAAAAAGATGATCATCAGAATCCTCTGATTGTGTTATGAACCACAGTTTTTACCTCTCGGGGTATTTTGGCTCTTTAAACTGGAAAGGACACCCGCTTTATTTCACAGAGCGCTAACGACTTTGGCTGATGTTAACATACACAGTCTGCTCCAAATGAAACATGGAACAATGGTTTCATGCTGTGATTATTCTTTATGGCTGTGTTTGCCATCAGCAGGACTGCCAGCTAAGATTTACTAAGAAAACACAGATAAGAGAAATATTTCACTCAGTTTGGGGTTTATAGCGCAAATCCAAACGCTGATTCGTGTTTATAAGACTAAGGCTGGGATTTATTAGTTATTTTACAACCTGCTGGTGAGAAGAACTTCTATGAAACACGGTCTGTAAAGACTTAAGATTCTGGTAAAGTCAAGTTGGTCTTTTAAAGACACACTCCTGAACTTTACGGATATGTGCTCTCTGTCTGGACTCATTGGAGAATGAGACCCATCCAATATGGAGGCAACACTGTTATGCTGTCCAGCACCCGATAATGCATCTATGTATTTTTGTCTATGGGTTCTACATGATACTGCCATAAAGCAACACCCAGTCAGTACTTCTGGTGGCGGACCGCGGGTCAAAAACTGTATAGTGTGGTATACAGACAAGGGACCCCGTAACACTATCACATCTATCATAATAGATGATAATGTGGCATCAAAATGTATATATATATATATATATATATATATATATATATATATATATATATATATATACACACATTTTTGCACCACATTATCATCTATTATGATGTCTGATCATTATCCAATCATTAGGAAACGGACGTGCACAGTGATTGGAAGATAGCTCTTCAGGATTGTATGGTTCAGTGGTGATTACAATTATTATAAATTTTTTAAACATCTGATTTATTTGTTGCCATCAGAATGTGAAAAGTATTTCAAGCAATATGGCAACAACCTCTCCAGAATCACACCTGAACCTCCACCTTTACAGGCATGTTTGTGAAGTTATTTTTCTTTTGAATGTGCCGCTCTAACAGAGCAGTTGGCCCCAGCCTGGCTCCCTCTACCACTGCCCTGATCTGTTCTCCGTCTGATCTAGTAAATCAGAAAACATCTCTCTTTCTCTTTTTGCTCACATCAAGTGAATCTTATTTAATATTTCCAGTAACTTTTTTGAACCGAAATGTGTTTTAAACTTTAACATCTGGCAGGAGTACTAATGGACCAACAGGATTTCTTTAACAGTTGAGTTTGACTCCTGTTGAATTTGAAGCCGGCTGCATTTGTGTGACGTGTCACAGTGGTGAGCTTTGATTGATGAGGGTTAATGTTAGCCTGCAGTTAGGGGAGCTGTAGCATGTTTACTCTGGGATTTAAAAGCCTGTCAGATTCTGACGGCTGCAGGTTGACCTCCGACAAACTTCCATCTGTAACTGTCAAACACCCACAGATCTAAATCCTGATTGGTTCATAACAAACCTACAACTAAACTAAGTCTCATATAACTGAAAGAGGATGTCATGCATCATTTATAAATAACCATGTGTATCAATATTTCTGTGTGTTTCATCCACTTTGTCCTGTTATCAGGTGGAAGATTTTATGATGCATGAAGCATAATTTAGAATACACAGAACTAACTTACTTTGCTGCTGAAACCCTTAAAAAGTCTTATGAACAAGTGGGGACTTTACAGGGAAAATACTTAATATTAAAATAAAATAAATTAAACACAGCTGATGGAAATGACATTTAATATTTATATTATTTAAATGGAAGAATATTCTTTGTTTTATGCCTGTAACATTAAATTTCCAACAGATAAAAGTGGAATCAGTAAATAATTAATTAAAAGTCACTGAATCACTTGTTCCTGTCAACAAAAGGTGGATTTGTTTTTCGTCGTCGTCGTTGTCTTCCTCCGCTTATCCGGGTCCGGGTCGCGGGGGCAGCATCCCAACTAGGCAGCTCCAGATCGTCCTCTCCCCGGCATTCTCCACCAGCTCCTCTGGCAGGAACCCAAGGCGTTCCCGGACCAGATTGGAGGTGTAACCTCTGTTTTAAAACTAATTTATGACTTTGTGTGGTGGCAAAAGTACCGATGAGACTCTGTTTATAATATGAAACCAAATGGACCATTTTAAAACCATAATAGAGCAAACTGTTGTTACTGGCATGAGGTCATGCAGACGTTTACTGCTTTTTATTACTTAATTGGGTTGAACTGGAAGAAGTGTTCAACAGAACTGATCCATCTACTAAATGCTGCCCTCCAGTGGCTAAACGTGTCATATGCAGAGGAGTTAACTCCTAGTTTCATCTGCTTTTTAATTTCAAATAACCTTCAGCGGATTAAAAAAAGAACAACAATGTTTGAAAATAGAAGTTTTTTTTAAAGTCTTGTTTTTAAATGAGTTATGGTCATTTGCTCAGAGCTATTCAATCTGTTTCAGGCACTCAGTTCATTTTTGAAATGTCTTAAAAACCACTCAGTCGTGTCTTTGATCTTTTTTAAAATAAGGATCTTCTTCCTTGAGTTGAGAAACTTCCACAACAAAACACAGATGTTAGTTTTTTGTAATGAGCTACCACCCATCCAGTCAGAAGTCACAAAGAATTATTTTATCCCCAAACATCATTTAGACACATCACAGATCACAGTAAGGTGTAAGGAAATCAGAAATACCTAAGGTTGTAGCGGCTGCATGAGACACATTTTAATGGCTTTATGCTCATTTTAAAGAGAACAATGTAAAGTTATATTTCCAGGAAGTGAAAACAACTCTGAAGGAAAACAACATAGTACTGTTTTTCTTCTAACAACAGTTCAGTTACTCAGTCACCGTTTCTACTGCGTTTTTATTTGTTGACAATTAAAATCTAGTGAAAATGAATCTTCAACCTGGGATGCCAGGAGGAGGAGATGTTGAAATAAAAACACAACAGCTGTATCAATCCCAGTAGAGATGACACATCCTGCAACATCTGGTGTGACGATGCCACCAAAAGCTGCAGAAACAACTGGCTGAATAAATAAAAGACCAGCATGTTTTAGATTTTATTTGATGTGTTGGGGTTTTGGTGGCTAACTGCCACTTCTCTACAAGAAAGCGAAAAAAGCTCCTTTTGTTGTTTGGAGTTTGCCTGATCTGTAATCCTCTTTCCCGAAAATTCCCACCAGCTTTCCCCTTCAAGGTGAGAGTCAGGATTATTTGCTGCACAGTAGTCTATGAAGTGGTGACACGTCGAACCTGTTCACTCTTTTCTTTCCATCTTCAGAATTTATTTTTTTGTAAATCTTAAAATTTGCAGCAAGAAAAAAGCTCCACAGCTGTGCTTAAGTGACTTGTCTCAGCTAATAATAAAGTAATGTTTAGTTTTATTCTGAAATATCTTTGCTCAACAGGCCTGAAATAGCCATTAATCCTGTCATCTCCTCACTTGTTCATCCATTTATTCAGTGTGTGTAAATAAAAGCCTCTCGGGTTTCATGTGTTTTTGCAGGTGTTGAGTATTAAAACGTGGAAGAAAGGTCGTGACCTCGTCCATCAGGACTGCGCCACAACGTCAGATTTGAGTTTTGTTTACATAAAGTGTTTATGATCCTCCATCTGCGCAACACACACACACACACACACACACACACACACACACACACACACCCTAATTTAGCACAGCACCTAAATTAGCACACAGCTATCATATCTAATAAAAACCCAGAATAAAGGCCCTTTTAGACGCGACACAAACAAGTGCAGGATTTGAAATACAGAAAGAGCCAAACAGGCGACCTTTAATCAGAATAAACAGCTCTTTACAGACGCTGTTCACTGGGACCCCGTCCAGCCCCATTTTGTTTTAATTTTCACGCATGTATGGTCTGTAGATATTTCAGAGCACTCAGCACAATGCCTGTGTGTGTGTGTTTGCGTGTGTGTGTGTGTGTGTGTGGTAAATCTCCCCATTAGCATGCTATTATTAGTTAAGATTCTATTCAAAGAGCCTGGCTCAGACAGAAAGTTGCTGGTTGCTAGAGGCCTCGTTTGCTTTCATTCAGTGTGTCGTGTTTGCGCAGCGCCCTAACAACCGAAGCCATCTGGACCGTTTTTATTTTGTGAAACTTAGAGACTTTGGATGTGCACCATTTGGTCACGCCATCCAACTTACATAACATTTAACTAAAGACACTTCTACGGGCTGCAGGCGGCGTGAGGTGGCGGATCCTCCATCCGCAGGTCGTCAGAGAGCTGACTCAGTGAGCTGGAGCCGAGGTTTCCTCAGATTTAAACATTCTGATGCAGGTAAGAGAATGAATGGTGTGATTTACGATCATGTGAAATCAGGTCAACATGAGCAGCTCATGCCCTTTTCTCTGCTGGCTGCTCTAGTTTTGCACAGTGCTCTACAGATAATACAGTGTAGGTTCAAACTTGTGTTTTTTGGCTTTTATGAATATTAGTTGAGATTAAAAAATGCAAACATGAACAACGAAACCACTCAAATGTCTTTTTTTCCCCATCTACAGGGATTAGATTATTTCTGCAGACTCATTTCAAACAAAGGGCCAAATGGCTTTTTTTCTGCTTCAGGCTTGAGACAGGAAATCCTCCTGTGTCTTTTTTATTTCTTTGTTTTGATTGGTTTTTTATTTAATCTATTTTGTCTCCATAATAATTTTAATAAGAGTTTTAATTTGTCTCTCTAATCTCATTCTGCTTCTTTATCTGAAGTAATCATTTCAGGAAGGAAACCAACATACATGGATCCTTTTACATTTAAATGTTGGAAAAACACCAACATCAAATTCATCATGTGAACGAGTTTATTGTGAGGAAATCAAACTAAAAACACTCGTCAGTTTATCTTTTCTCACATGCAAACATCATAATAACTTCCCAGTATGGATTAAAGATATAAACCCTCAGTTTAGTCTGAAAAACAAAAGTCCTAAATGAATTCACCAAACACTGATGTGATAAACGAGCCACCAAGATAGAGAGCGATAGTGAGAGCAAGAGCGAGAGAGGGACAGAGAGAGAGAGAGAGAGAGAGAGAGAGAGAGAGGGAGAGAGGGAGAGAGAGAGAGGGAGAGAGAGAGAGAGCAAGAGAGAGAGAGAAAGAGAGAGAGAGAGAAAGAGAGAGAGACGGAGTGAGAGGGTGGGGGAGAGAGAACAGAAAAAAGGCGAGAATTAAGTTTAGAAAAGGGACAACAAAAAGAAACATGGCTGAAATTAAATCCTGGAATAAAAAAAACACATCCTCATCCGTTCCCACAGAGATGGGGGGTGAAAGGTCTGGTTCATGACTCACATACCCTCCGTTTCTCCTGGTGTCAGCCTGAATTACAGACATAAAAAACAAAACTCACAACTGATGAGGACAGACTTCAGGTCAGTCTGAACTTATTGGGCTTCCTGGGCTCCATGAAGTTACCTTTTAGCAAAAAAAAAAAAAAAAAAAAACAGAAATAAATATATTTATAAAATCTAAATTTGAAGCTTTTATAGTGAATCTGCAAACAAGCTAAGCTTGGAATGGTCCCTACGACCTTCCCTGAATCCACGTCCACTGGAACTGGAAACCCACATTTCCAGAGGAAACCGGATAGCACTAAACACCAGTCGCAGTTTTCTAGGTCCAAACATATTCTGTTGTCCGTGACTTCAGATGGTGTTTTTCTTTTCTGGACTCTGATTTGTCCTAAAGTTGAAGTGGTAGCAGCCGGCTGTTTCTCCTTCTCTGATATTTGAGTTAATTGAGGCTTAAAATGTTTGTTTTAGGGCTGAGAAAGTTTGAGCAGCTGGATGATTTATGAGGGAAGGTCTGTCCATCTTTTCACTAAATCCGTGGTGTTTTCACCCTCATCCTGACCTGGAAAGCAAGCAGGCCGATCTGACAGATGGAAATGACTTTAACACAACTTCTTTATGCCTCAAGCCGAGTATTTTACAGTCACTTTAACGTCCAGCATTAAAGAGTTGGGCCTATTTCATTCTTTTTGCAGCGGTCTGGTTTGGAAACCACTAATCGTTGTAGGAATTACCTACATGCCTCATCCAGGCAGCCTGCTGCCTCATCATGTTTTTACGTTTATGAGGAACACGCTGTATTTTACACCACACTCAGATTGTTTCCATTTTCTAATAAAGTTCTGAGTGTGTGATGCTGTGAGGAAGCCTTGGTTCAGATTAAAGGTGGAGATAAGGAAGGGTCCAAGATGGTTAACGTTTCTGGTTCATGAGGTGTCATTGCTGACGGAGACGAGGACTGATGCATCTCTTCTCCAGTCGTTACATGAATTCAACATTTTAATAACTTCCAGTTCTCTGGTTTTCTGTTTTTAAATCATCATCCTTATTAAGTGTAAACTTTAAGTTTCACTAAAGCATCCTCTTACATGAAAATCTCTTCCAGTTGGATCTCATGTTGATCGCTTTCCCCTCTCATTGTCCTGGAGACCCACTGCCCTGCATGGCTCAGACTTCTGATTAGAAGAAACGGGTCATTAACAGGCTTCTGTTAGATGTGATAACAAGGCCATTCATTTGTTTCAATCAGGGAAAAGGCAGCAGAAAGCATCTAAAACACATCGTCTATTGATTACGCTTCAGTTTTAAGATGATTGACATAAACAAGATCATTGCCAACAATCACTACCTGAGAGGTATCAACAAGATGTTTCCTATTGATTCTTTCATAATTTTATATTTCCTCATTTCTCTAAATAATACATTCAATTTAACGATGCACTGGTATGAAATATTTTGGGCGATATTGACCTCCGATAGTAATATCACTGTTATGTCCCATAACCGATATACTGACTTGCTTCTAAAATCTGCAGATTTTCTGTAGAGTGAAAACGATTAAAGCTGAATTGACATTATTGTGTACCTGCACCACACACATTTACGCTTCTGAGATGATTACATCACTAAACAAACACACCGCCCCTTTCACACTCTGAAACAGATAAACAAATAGAAACAAGATGGAAAAAATATCGGTTGTTAACATCGGCCCAGTTTATTTATCAAACCGATTCCGACATTGATGACGACATGTTGTGCATCCCTGATCCAGTTGCATTATTTGGTTCTTTTTTAACACAGGAACGGTTGTTTTACCTTTTTGCAGATAGTTTTGACCTCTCCTGAGGTCTTTTACAGAGCTAGCCACTAATGGTGCCACCATTAGTGGCTAGCTCTGTAGAAGACCTCACCTCAGTGGTGGTGTGCGACTTCACAGGAGTTAGGTGACCAAGTGTGCGTTGTCCTGAAGTAGTCCCAAATCTAAAATGGTGCCTCTGATTCCTTTATATTACTAATTATTTTCACTTGCAGTCAGTTGGATTATTTAGGTCACCAAGCAGAATTTGGATCACATCTGAGTGATTTTAAGGACGTTTTTACTCACAATGTTGGATCCATTCACTGACTGTGTTTTATGCTAGGCTAAAGCAAAAAGAGTACATCTGGGTCAGGAGAATGACTGGGCTGATTAAAATGGATTTTTCTTACTTAACACTGGGAAATATGTCAATAGACAAATGTTCTATTTTTGGTGGAATATCCCTTTAAGTGCTGCATCGCCTTGATGAAAAAAGTCAGGAAAGTCTCACTCTTCCTTCCAGTGATAAGAGTCAGACTTTATTAAACTACAAATAAACAATCCAAACACAGCATTCTGTTTTGTATACTTCCATTAAAACAAATGATCATGTGGGACAATATCTCTCTCTCTCTCTCTCTCTCTCTCTCTCTCTCTCTCTCTCTCTCTCTCTCTCTCTCTCTCTCAGCTGCTCAGAGATGCAGAGCTAGCAGGAACATCAGCTCTCTGTTCATCCTGTTCCCATGAGAATGATTCTGGTTGGGGCAGAAGCCACTCGCTGTGTAACCTCTCTGCTTTCTCCCAAAGGTCCAATTGGCTAACATTAAGAGAGTGACCCGGCCTGGCAGAAAAGAAGATGTATGCAGCAGCAGTAACAGTAGATGGAGGCCAGGCCAGACCAAAAATAAAAAATAAAAATAAAAAAACGCTTTTTGTCACAATGAATAAAAGGAGATGACAAGAGCAGCTTTTTATCTGTGAGTCATGTGACTGATGGATGATGGTGAAGCAACAGCATCCTTTAAAAATGAAACACAAAACTTGCTTTGACTTAATCTAAAATGTCATTTTAGACACGTTTTGGGATTCGATCTTCTCGTGCAGATCTGATCCCTTCACTCGTGGCTTTTATCTAACGTTTTTATTTCTGTGTTTGTGTCGGTTAACATTTGCAGAATAGTTTATCACTGTGCAAACAAACTATCTCTCCACGTGTAAAGCTTACATTTCACAAGGCTGGGCCAGAGCCATCTATCTGGAACTAATCTCTGTATGTATTTTCATGTAGAGTGAAGCACAGCAGGATGGAGGACAAGCAGCGAGGACGCTGCATCCAGAGTCGGCCCGTTTTCATCTTGAAATATGTGGTCTGCCTCGACCGCTGATGCCCCGCGAAGCCCCAGAGCAAGGCTGTGTTTAGAGGACAGAATCTCCAGATTCGGCTCAGTGTGAATGACCATACAAGGAGTTGGCATTTACTTCAGATGTGAAAGATCAGTCAGAAAGAAGATTACAGCAACTACAGGACCTCTCACTCTCTGTCTGTCTTTCCTCTGTGTCCGAAGTTAAAGCTCTTTCTCTCTTTCTGTTATCAGCCCGCTGCTCTGTACTTCTCTCTCTCTCATCTCTTTTCTGTCCTTTAATCTCCCACTTTTCCTTTTTCTGGCTCCGTCCTTTTTTTCCTCTCAGCTCACATTTAGAGAGGGCACTCTAATAGACCTCCCTCATGTCTCCCATCGCTCCACTCCTCCCTTTTCGTCTTTTGGGTCTTTCCTCCCTCCTCCCCTTACCTCCCCTCTTCTGTCCCTCGCTCCTTCCCTCTTTTCTCAGCCGGTCCCAGATAAGAAAGAGGCAGAAGTGATTCTCTACAGCCATTTCTGAAGCTGGAGCCACCAGAGAAGGGTGGGAGGACTAATTAACTTTTCTCTTTGTTTAAATTTTTGAATATTTACTGGCAAAATAATGAATCTTGTTTCATTTTATCTAAGTTTATCTTTTATTATCTAACCTTGCATTACGCAGATTTGTATGTTTCTCCTCACATTCGCTGCCTTTCTTTGGCTCATTTGGTGTTTTCCCATCTCTGTTTTATCCTGGGTGGATCTGAACTGAATTTAACATGAGACATTTCAACAAAGACATGAAGAACCTGCTTTATGTCAAACCAGTGGACTTGTCTGTTTGAGAGAAAGCGGACCACAAGATTCAAGATCCAGGTTGGAGAAGTGAGGAGACACTTCTTGCCACTAGTGAGTGGATCAGGAGGCAGCTTGCATAAACGGGTGTTGCTCTTTAAAAGTGTAATTCGCAAGAGAATAGAAGAGGACATCGGAGCAGGATCGGACCTCATGGGTTGCTTGCTGAGACTTGTGCATGAATCCTGCACACAGATGTTTTCTTAAGGTGAACTGAGGTCAAAGTGCAAACAGTCTTCTCTTGACCTTCTCAACGCTGGGGCTTTATTACAGGTAAAGTACTGTCATGAAAGGCTTGAATCTCACCTGGGGGTTTCTGCTGCTGCTGCTGCTTTGGACCTGGTCAGCTGTTGCTGATGCAGCTGGCGTTGGAAGCACGGAGCGAGCCGGAGCTGGAAGAGCCCAGAGGAAAGGAGGAAGTGGCGGCAGTGGAGGAGGAGGCGCAGAAAAACGAAAGAGGTTTCACCGCATCCAGCACGGTCAGTGCAGCTACACCTTCATCCTGCCAGAGGCGGATGGGTGTCAGGGTGGAGGACCGCCATCACAGACGGAACAACACGGAGGCTCTCACAGCGGGGCAAGCGTTGTTCAGAGGGACTCTCCTCCCATGGATGGAGAATGGTCGGCGCAGAAACTGCAGCACCTGGAGAGCATAATGGAGAACAACACGCTGTGGCTGCAGAAGGTAAGAGATAAATGAGCTTTTCTCACACGCACGGCTTTAACGTGATGTTTAAACAACTTGGTCAATAGTTGCTTTCTACTTTTCACACATGTTCATGTTCACCCAGAGAAGGTAAAGAGTGGTTCAGGTAGAGGGGGCCGTCCAATAATGGGAGGGTTGAAGGTTCAAATCCAGCTCTTCTGTGGTGGTCCAAGGGCCAAAACTGCACCATCACTTCTGTGAGACCGCCCCTTCAATACTCACTAGAGCGATTAGTGATGCCTTGAAGAGTGGCATTTATAAATCTGTAGAAAATCTGGTTCCAGATTTGCTCTTAAGCCTTTAAAAATTGATGTCCCCACTAAAGGACAAGCATGGCGACCGCGTGTGTGAAACACCACATGCTGCTGAGGTTCGCCTCATTCTGTTTAACTCTTGGATGGACACAAATGCAGACATGGGAAATGTGTTTCTGCAGCTGCACACACTGTCTGCATCAGGTTCTCTGTGTGTGTTGGTGCGAAAAACCGGCTCTGCTCTGATAGCACTCTCTATTTCACTGATTCATAGGATGAGGATCACGGTTTCAGGTTCAGGTTCTGGTGCTGGTTGAGTGGCAGCTGGTTTCAATCAGGAGAAAAGTCCTGTGCGTTCCCTGCTGTTGTCCTAACAAACTGTTATTCTTTCTAAAGTCATCTGTCATCTGACTGAAGCAGTGACTGTGTGGTGTGTAATGAAATCCAGCATGAAACCTCCTTTTCACACATGTACGCTTGAAACAGTCCTGCTGAACAAAGTAATACATGTTTGACTCTGTTACTGTGAGGGCCCACTTTACATGTTTCCAAGTCTCCCTGCAGTTTAAAATGCTGAGGTCTTCCTACCTGGCATGAAGCACGGCTTCAACAGCCAGTTCTTTTCACCTGCCAGACATGAGGTTTTGGGGGAGTTAACAGGGAGGTCCCCACCATCAGGAGCTGGAGAGCAACTATTGTAGAACAGATTTATTGGGTTTGCCTGCGAGGTGTAGAAGTGGTGGGTTTTTTGTAAGTTTTTTTCTTTATGAGAAGTGTTTGATGAAACCTGCACAGTTTATGTAACACCCCACCACCTTTCTGTAATGTCTTCCACACATATAAAGTCAAAGGCATTAAACTCTTCATCAATGCACCACTGATTCCTCCACAGTCACACAGCAAGTAGCTCATCAGCAGCCAAGTCATTGGCGTAAAGGGTCATTCCCTTTGGTTCTTTATAGGCACCTTTCTAATTAATGATCACTGGAACAAACTGAAATGCAAACCCCAAGTGCTGAGAGCTTCCCACTCACCCTGAAGGTTCCAGATCATTTCCAAAATTACTTTTCTGGGGTTTCTTTCTACCCTGGAAATCTGTTCTGGCTCTTGTTGCTGTACTGGAAACACTTGTAGGTAAATAATGACTCCAACACACACACACACACACACACACACACACACACACACACACACACACACACACACACACACACACACTCTCTCTCTCTCTCTCTCTCTCTCTCTCTCTCTCTCTCTCTCTCTCTCTCTCTCTCTCTCTCTCTCTCTCTCTCTCTCTCTCTCTCTCTCTCTCTCTCTCTCTCTCCTCTCTCTCTCTCTCTCTCTCTCTCTCTCTCTCTCTCTCTCTCTCTCTCTCTCTCTCTCTCTCTCTCTCTCTCTCTCTCTCTCTCTCTCTCTAGGACTGTGACTGTCACCAAATACTCAAATTCATCAAATAGAACCATAATAAATTTGTTACTTGAAGGTTTGGAACACTGAGAAACCATGTTTTATAGATTATTTCTGATTCTAATGGGTTTTTCATGCAGGCTGAACATGAAAAATAGTCTCCTACACCTATCTCCTGCATTAGCTTCTGATAGAAAACAGACGGTGAAACTCTAGGATTAGCAAATCCTGACAGATCTATGTCACACTGTCACTTAACATTCATGGACCCACCCATCTGGACTCACGGCAGGGAAGGCTGTTGTTGGTTTAGCGTCCAGGAAACAGCAGAGAATGTCTCTGCTAGCAGAAGCTAACCGTTAACATTAGCAACTCCACCACACAGCAGAACTCCTCCAGGCTTGTGTTATTTGTGGAGATAAAACATCAATGCTGCAGAGCAAACAGAGTCAGTGGTAGAGTCGTGATGCTGTTAGCCAATCAGAGGAGAGATGTCCAAGGATCAGGAAATAAGACTTCACATCCTGCCGTGTTCTGCCGCTCCCTCCTCCTGCTGAATTCTCCGTGTTGATACAGATGCACAGTTCTAATCAGTCATCACTTTATTTTTTAGATCAGCATTTGTTGATTTTTGACTGACTGAAACTAAACTGAATTGATCTCCAGATGTGTTCCAGCAGTGGCAGATTTAGCAATTTGGGGGCCCAAGGCAAACACAGACATGGGGCCCCTTACACAAAATTTTCGACAATCTTACCTTTAACTGGATTTGCAAAATTCTCCCCTCTTCTGACATGAGTTACTTTCCCTTTTTATTAGTCCTCCTCTTTTTTCCTGTATTTGCCTCCTTTTGAGCGCTTTCAATATTTGCTCTGCTTTCTTTTTCCTGACAGTGCTCCTGTGCTTTTGCCTTTGTTTTTTTTCTATTTTCCATTTTGTTCTGTTTTCCTCCCTTTAAACATTTTCCAATGTCTTTCCTTTTCTGCTTCCTGTTTACATCGAAAAACGACGTCACTTTCAGAAGTGAAAATGAAAGCTTTTTTAAAGCAAGCTGCTGCTTTCTCTTATTGGAGCCACAAGGATAACTCCATTTCATGCTTCATGTTTTGACTATCGCTTTGAGTTTTTTACGAACGCTCCCACCTCTCTTCTTCTTATTATTTCTGGTCTTATGACACTTGGCAAACAATAATTTGGTGCATTACCACCACCAACTGGATTGGAGTGGAATGACTACCAATCACTTCCTGTTTGTGCATCGCCGTCTTAATAACCCTCTTATGACCATAATTATAACAGGGCCGGCTTGTATTTTTTTATATGGCTGTAAAATTGTACTAAAAAGTGCAACGTGTGTGTAACTCTTCTCCTTTTTTCAGAACAACCTCAGCTTTCAGTGTATGGTTTGTATTTAGAATTTATTTCTATGAAAGCCTTTAAAAAATCCGCCTAAAAGTGAAAAAAGCAAAAAATGGATTTTTGTTTTTTACATTTATTACTGAACAGGAACTTCAAAATCATATGGGCAAACAGTTTGGAATGAACAATTTAAGCTTTGAACTGCAATGCATCTATTCTTGAAAAAGTTTGAACCTTGGTATCTTTTTTTAGCAGTTTTAAGACCATTTATTTTTGTAAACTTTCAGACATTTTTATTTGATGTGGTAGGCCTTGAAGCAGTTTCTCTCCATCTGCAGGCAGAGTCTCACTCTGCACACCTCACACTGCCATGGGGTGTTTCTCTTGCACACCGTGCACTGCTATACCAAAAACTTTTGTTTTAGCAAAAATAATTATTTATTGTAAAAAGATAAATAATGCTGGAATGAAGCTGAATCTTACAATTAGCAAATAGTTGAGGGTTGTTCAAATAAAAAAATAAAGACTGAACAAACAGTCATACCCTGGTTCACTGGAGATCTGTCCTTCTTCGTGGTCACTGTCTTCAGATATAACCCTTCTGGGACACCTAATAGATCGTGTTGATTTTCTTTGAGGCATTTCCATAATTTTATGCTGGCTTTTTGTGCTAATTAGCTTCCCGTTCCGTTATCCGCTTTCACCGCAGCGCTGTGCTCCGCTGTGCTCTGTTTCAATTAGGCTGTACAGCAGGATTTCCATAACTCTGATTGCTTCATGCTATAGATCGTTGGAAAGCTGCTTTTATGTACTTTTATGAACCGTTGGGATTTTTGAATCTGATCAGCCATTCAAAAGTTATAAAACGGAGCATTTTGAATGACAAACTCAGCACGTCTCTGAATCTGTGTTGTGATTCGTTGCGCTCTTGACAGGAAATCCTGGAGGCTACCGTAATGTATTGTATATGCACGACAAGACCCATTTTTAACCTTTTCAGCACTGTTGGAATTTTACAGATATCTTGAACGTTTCAGGAATTATGGTAATGAGAAGTGCGCGTGTCCAATCCCGTCGGTGGTGACGGGATTGGACATAAGAATATTGTGGCATTAACAGAGGGGTGCTGGCGGTCAGGGCTAGGGGGCTCCCCAACACAAGGGGGCCCCAGGTGGCCGCCGACCTATGCCTAATGGTAAAACCGCCACTGTGTTCCAGACTGCTTTGAGAGAGAATCGGTTTGTGTGTCGTGTGTAGTGGTTGCCATGTTGCTGCACTCCTCACAACCTAGTACAAAAACCATTACAACTTCTATGTCTTTTAAAATGTTATGCATGGGAAGTCGCATGTCGTTAAAACCTTCTGACAATGCAAAAGCTGCTTTGTAAACAGGCCCATGTTCTCATGCTGATAGCCGCTAATTAGCATCTCACCGCTTGTGACCACGCTGATTCAGATTAAACTTCTACGAGCAACTTTCTGTCCGTCTAGACACTGAAACGTTGTTGTGGTACGGCAGTGGAGTGTAAACACGGCTTCATAAATGGCTGTCAGTTTGGGTTAGGGTTAGAAAAACAAGAAACACAACAAGAGGCAAACTTTTCTGTTGTGGTTTCAGTGGCCAAACCTTTGATCCCGATTCTGTGTAACATTTATAACATTATTTTGTATTTTAAAGAAATCGCTTCAAAACTGTTCTAAATCCAAAACAGAAACCTCCTCTTTGGTCGGCTCGCGCTGCAGGGGGCAGTGATGCGTTCAAACACTTTCATGTGGAAAGGAGTTGCAAAATCCAACTGGAAAACGATAAAACGTGTGTTTGACTCCAAACATGTTCTAAAATGGAATCAGCTCCAAGTAAACATGCTATCCATGCAGCAGAGAGCCGTGCGCATGTGTGGAGCCGTTTTAGTGTAACAATAGTGAACACACATAATGTCGTCTGCACAGTAGGGATGC